TACTAACATACAGCCATAATGCTCTACTACCTGGATGTAAACCAGCACAGCAGACATATAGCATCTCGTAGAGCAGAGCTGTTTGGCTGTATTTTGATCCAGGGAATTGAGACAAAGTTTTATGTGGGCTGTGTCAGGTTGAACTGACATATGGAGCCATGCATAACCAGAACAGGAATGTGGATGTTAACCTGCAAGGAGGGCTGCAGGCTGCCAGTGCTAGCCTGCTAGCGTTAGCCACACTCTGCATCATTTGACATCATTCACCTCAAACGCTGATCCCTTGTTTAGCTGTGTTAAATAAATTGTGCCCAATATTGACAGTTTTCTGAGTGTTTTCTTAACTTTGCAAGAGTAGACTTGTCTGACTTTCAATTTTCGATTAATCAACTTTGAAATTTGATTTGATTTTGAGCGACTGCTGAACAAAATTGGAATTTGTTCCTGATTCATTTATTCATGCAGCATCCTTTCCTACTAGACTTTTAAAGTGAAAGGTGATTCCAAACGAACATCTTTTATTTAAATATTAGCTCAACATTTCTGTCGGTCTGGTTTCAGTTTCAATGCTGTATTGTTTTAGCTAGCGAGGATAGCCAACCACGGCTAACCAAGCCTAGCATATCCTTTACACATGCTCTGACAAGTTTCCAAGAGTGGTTACTACCCCTTTAAGATTTTCACAAAAGTTCCTCAACACAGAGTCTCCTGGATACTGAAAACATACTTCTGTTAAGGTCATTAGTTCCAGTACTTTAAATGTAGTATTTCAAAATTCACGTTTTACTGCCCCCAATTCCAGGAAGTAGTTCATCGTTTGTGCCATTGCAATGTTAACATGATGTGACAGAGCGGAAACAAACTCAGTACTGCACCCCTGCATGCAACAGGTAAAAAAGCCCGGTGAAGCATTTGACTAATCCATCCTACATGGACCCAGAACCCAGGGGTAAGGACGTTTCTCCCAGAAGTGCTCCACAGGAATGATATTTGACGTCTGTAAAGGCCAAAGAAGTTCATGACTTTGCTGCAGCAAAAATAAAGCTCACTTTATTGTTCAAGTCAAAACAACAAACTAAATTATTTTAACGTGTTTTCAAGTCATTTGCTGCCATTTTATAAAAGATTTTCAAAGTTTTACAGTCCACAATAGTTCTGTATATATGAATGTCCTTAAAGTCTAAATGTCAGAGGCAGACCTCTTGGTACACAGAGCACGCTGCCTCACAGATTAATTGTGGGCTGAAGTGATAGTAAGAGCAGCGCCGAGGTTGGATGTTTGAATTGTTGCCTTTTTCTGTCTCTTTGTCTCGTTCTCTCGTCCTGGAGGTACAGGGCCGCCCCCCCAGATAACTCTTGTCAGCATTGTGCCTCGTGTTTTAATCTGCCATTCTGATCAGGCAGAGGGCAGAGCAGCCTTGGCCCTGCCGAGGCCCTGATTGGAGTTTGTCAGACCTCTGGAGGACACGATTAGAACAAGCTAATTAGAAGAGAGAGAAGTTTAGGGAACTTCGGAGAAGTCATCAGAGGGGAGAGAGAGAATGTCTATTAAAGAAACAGTTTGGAGCGATGTAAAGGACTGTTAACAATATTTAAGCCCTTTTGGGGCCCTTTGCTAAAATCCTTTTTTATTGGCCCCTGTTTTGTGAAAATATGATGAGGATTTAAAAACCCTCGAAGATGGTCAAGAGGAATGATGGGTTGAATACATAACTCTGGTGAGTTTAAAAAGAGGCTGGACTGCCCATTTAAGATATTTAACCAATCTAAAAAAAATGTGTTTTTGTCGCTTATCATCCTGAACCTATATCAGGCTTTTCCCACTTAATTAGGGGCGTCCTGACCTGTCAATCAACTCAGGCTTCACGCCCGCCTTAGCTTGATTGATGGAAAGCATTTCCAATATATCGTTCCGCCATCATTCGGCTACATGACATATCTTCAGAAACCAATAGGTGACCTGACTGGTACTACGTCCATGTTTTCTACAATCTATAAGGATATATTGTTTTGTCCACACTCTCCACTACAGCAAACCCTGGCGGCCTTTTCTCTGGCTGAGTGTGTTGATGAGCTACTCTTCATTTCAGAAAAAGAACACACTTTTCATCTTGTAACTTCTTCTCCCTTTGGCTTTTAAAAATGACACAAAAATGAAACATCCACTGGTTTGTCGGGGGCCTGCCGTCTCTCCATTGTTTTCCCCTCTTGCCTGTATCCTGCCAACCATTACATCAGCATCTTATGTAAGAGCTGCGATCAAGCATGTGCGGGGGGGACGACAGGAGAGCATCGGTGGATCTTAGCATCAGCAGCAGCAAGCACTAAGTGAAACTGTCACCGGCTCTGTTTTTGCCCACAAGCTCCTGCACTCTCGCAGGCTCGACGGGCTACCAATTAGGGTTAGACGAGCCAGCGGAAATATTGAAATAAATAAACTAAAAGATCATTTGTGGCCCGGGGCTCGCGTCGCTTGCATGGTGAAAGATTAATGCGGCCCCTCTGAAAAACTAAAGCCTCCAAAGGGACAGCGGAAGTGGCTTTTTTTTCCTCTTCTGAAGCACTGGTAAAATATAAAAAGAAGGGGCCCCGAGACGCCTCCAGGCCAGAGGAGCACAGAGGAGAGATGAGGAGGAGAGCGGCTTAAAAGAGAAAGAAAAAAGAGACAGTGGAAGAGGAAGGCAAACATATTGCATTGACAGAAGCATATAAATGCTTTCACTCTCAAAGACACACACCCACACACAGCTTTGTCTTACTGTACTCACAAAGCCTTCCACTTACTGAAATCTCTGACATCGGAGCCCAAAACCAGCAGCCTTCCAACATCTATCTCTGTAAATAAAAAGCTGGTATTCAATCGTGATTGAGTGTTTAATTATTGCCAGCACAATGAACTCACTAATTTCTGCTAATCACTGCTACTTCTCTCTCCTTTCCATTCACCCACTACGAGCGGATTGAAACTACCAGCTGAGGTTTCACTTTGAAAGCCACGGTGAAGAGAGGAGCGTTATGCACTTTGAGCTGCAGGATGGTTGTTTGTTTTACACGACATGTTGAGTTTAAATGACGGGATCTGCAAACCGGATTAAACAACACTTTAAAAATAAGAACCATAAAAAGAGGAACTCTGAGCATCAGAGAGACGAGTATGACAAGATTTAATCCATCAGAACAACAGATAGAGATGGAGAAAGGTAGATAGCATTAAGAGTAATTAGGCCTTTTGAATATAGACACAACCGTATCAGCATTTGGAGTTAGTATATGTAGGGCCCTATAAACACATACTGTTATACTGTTGCACAAATGCTGTCTATATAATAAAACCTAATCGGCTGGGCCAACTAGCAGTGACGCAGTGGTTAGTGCATGCGCCAATGTACGGAGGCTTTAGTCCTCCAAGAGGGTGTCCCGGATTCAAATCCAACCTTTCACACATGTCATTCCCCACTCTCTCTCTCTCTCTCTCGCAGTCTCTTTTCAGACTCTATCCACTGTCCTATCTCTCCAATAAAGCCCCAAAATAATTTGTAAAACAAAAAACAAAAAAAGTTCTGGTTAAATTGTCATGACCCGGTAAAAACAATGTTTGAGTCTATTGTTGCCTCTATCTAGTCTTTTGGGTTCTTTAATGCAACGTTACATCTAAACGTCTAATGTATTTGAATGCTTGGCTGCTCTTTGTGAAACTCTGTTAATTGTGCTGCTGCTTGTGTTGGCCAGGACACTCTTGAAAAAGAGATTTTTCATCTCAATGAGTTTCTTTCACGGTTAAATAAAAATAAATAAATAAATAAGACTCATATATGTACTCATATATAAAATTCTGGATAAGATCGAAGTCTAAGGGTAAAGAACAACACACAGAAGGATTCTGGGGCAGAGGTCTTAAGTTTGGATGGATTTCACATAAACCAAAAGATGAAAAGGAAGCCAAATGCAGTAACTGTTGCACAAACATTTCTTGCAAGAGGGAGAACACAACAACCTCCATGGCCAAGCACAACAGCAATGTGCATGAGATAAAACCCAAAGGCAGTAGAGTGTAAAAACCCCGTCAGCTCCGGCTACTGAAAACACTCATCCTCCTCCGCCCACTCAAACTTTGTTGCAAATCTCTTCAGTTAAAAATAGTAATCTAATGTGGAAATCTGCAGAATATTCAACGAGGTGACATAAGATATTATTATGAGATGTTCAAGGTCGGGTCAGTAAATTTACTAATAGGCAAAGGTAAGTAAAATACCATCATGATGTGTTTAAATGAAATGTCAAAAAATGAAAAATGTAGGCCTTGGTGAGAAACTTGAATGGATGAAGTTGTTCAGACAGAATCATCCGGAGCCCTTTAGGGGACATGGAAACAAGTTTCAGGTGCGCACCAACATCTATTTTGTGCACAAGAGAAACCTTTGCACGCAGTATTTTTTCTCTTGAGCACCAGTGTGCACGCAGTATAGCTTCTCTTGAGCATGGGGGTTTCTCGACTCTTCTTGTTTTGAGGTTTTTGAAAACCCACACATGAGACATCCCGGTTCATCCAACCACCCTCAAGACATTTCTCAGATTGTTGTTTTCTCTGCTGCATGCACCAGATACCTATCCAAATGTGTGTGTGTGTGCATGTGTGTGCGTGACTCAATAGCTCTAAGCATTCTGAGAGTTCAGAGCCTCCCAAAAGCTTCCCATTTAAAATACTTGACCCATAAACGATCACATCTGATCCTGAGCACATTGCTGCTGCTGCTGCTGCTGCTGCTGCTAGCTCTTTGAGTATTCCTGATAGAGTTGCTGGCAAAAGAAAATAAGAAACAGTGGGGTGATTCCTCCAGATATACTGTATAGCTTTTCTTGCCACTTTCCAGCTTTTAATTTTTCAAAGTTTCCAAATATTTCCTGACATGTGGAAGACTTGAAGGCTAACCACAGTCTCCACATGGGAGCGACTCAGCCTGGTTCTCAGATAGAAAAGGAGCGCAGACACACTCACCTGAGTAGGCCCAGTAGTTCTCCTCGGTGGCGGCTCTCCGGTGTCGTGTCTCGCCCGTCGCGGCACTGCGAAGGCCTTGGATGGGGGATTGGGACTCCGCTTGGCTTCCTGTCAGCGCTGCAGGGGAGGAGAAGACAGGGACAGACGGGTTAGGATAAACAGCAGCAGAGCTTCAGTGGCATTATGCTGCCCTGCCTGGGTACCTGCTGGGCAGAATGACAGCCAACTGTGTCCTTAGCTGCCTTACCACGCAAGCTAGCCTCATAAAAAAAAAGAAAAAAGAAGAAGAAGCCACTGTGGGGAACAAAGGTCAACTACAAAGAATAACTACGCCGTGCAACTTCACTGTCGAGGAAAAAACCTCACATGCATCTGAGGACGACCTCAATCTCAAACCTCCAAAAAGTGACCCCAAAAGGATAAAGTCTGCATCAGGAACATAATAAACAAATAATAGAAAGAACTGGAAAAAAAACACACATAAGAAGAAGAAGAAGGAAATAAACTCAAAGTGTTTTGATGTATTGTGCAGTAAAAGATGGAGCGTCTTATTTAGACGGTTGTGAAAGGAGCTTTTAGTATCCTCTCTAGTTAAAAGATGATACATACGACGGGTTTCTTTATGTCTACACATTATGCAGAAATGTGAGCATTCACTCAGCAATTGAGATGATTGAATGCGTTTTTTTACTCGCAGCCCGAGGCCCTTTGTGTTAATAAAACAGCACGCAGAACTCGACCTGAGGCTGGATAACTGTTGATCTCATTTCGTCAGCGCCACAGAACTGGTGTTGGCCGGTTTACAAAGAGGGGCAGTCAAGCTGGAAGACCTTTTTCTGTCTCACTTTTCAGTTATTAATAATTTGATTAATTAGTAAAAATGTATCCGACAGTAGTGATGTGATCAAATGAAAACAATGCAGCTTTTTTGAAATCCTTCCTTTCAGCTGTTATTGAGGATTTATTTTCTTTGGTTTTATTTGAATTACATGCACATTTATATAAATAAGTACCTCTAGTCACTTGGTTGATAGTGTCCTGTACACGAGTATGAAGTGTATCTTAAGAAAATGTTATCCTGCTTTAATTCAGCTGTATCAGGATCAAGGCAGGTACAGCATTATGTCTATTTTTGTCTTGTCTCAAGAACTTCATCATTGTTAAAAAAAAAAAGAAGCAAAAAACGGTGGCCTTTCCCTCCCTTACATCGTGTATTGCAAGCGACTGCTTTGCCGTGTAAAATGTACCAGGATACATCGCACTTTGGACCAGACCGGGGGGGGGGCGCCACTTTTAACAGCTTTTCTCGCTCATTAGGTCATAATCCTGTATTTAAAGAAATGGTGTTAAATAATTAAACCCTGTGGAGCGCTGGTTTGATTTGAAAGACTCCTCAGTTAAATGGTAAATGGACTTGAGCTTATATAACTTTTCTAGTCTTCTAAATACTCAAAGCGCTTTTACACCGCAGGTCACACCTACACACTCACACACTGATGGTAGAGGCTGCTGAGTAAAGAGACCATCAGAAATAACTAATCCCAGTCTTACACATTCATACGCCGCCAACGAAGCAGCAGGAGCAACTTGGGGTTGAGAGTCTTGCCCAAGGACACATGTGGCTGCAGAAGCTGGGGATCGAACCGACTCTAACAACTGAGCCACAGCCGCCCCGAGTGCTGGTTTGATTTTAAATTCTCTTCAGTTAAAGACAACAAGTGACTAGAGGAGGTGGGGGGCAGGACTCGAGGCAAACTGGTGCAGGCTGTGGCTGTACCATAATCCTAGGGGCTAAATCATCGACACATGGTGAAAACAGATCGAACCAGAGAGAGCTACACAGTACCTGCACGTTGCTCACTTCGCTGAATGCAGTGTAAATAATTTGTCCCCTCTGGGAGACCCCCAAACAGCTCCTATACTACAGAAACTTTTACTCTTGATGTTACAGTTATTAGATTTACAGGCGTTCATCCAAAGCTCTGTTGTGTTGCCTTTTTCATTAAACACAGTCATCTTAGCTGCTGATCGGATTCTGATAATGGATAATAATGTATTCTTCACAGTCAGATACTTTGGAAAAAAGCGTCATTCCTTACAATTTCATTTCTCATGCCTTGCTTTTGGCAGTAGGATGTTCAAATGTAAAAAAGAAATCAAGATTTCCTCTGCCGGTTTTTTTCCATGTGTGAAACCCGACGCGTCCTCTTGGGCAGAGAGACCTTCTTGATCCCCTGAAAAAGAAAAAGGCAGAGATGGAAACGCTTTGCTTCTTTAAAGTGGAGGACAGGATTTTCTGACAGCTTCTCGCCTAATGGCTCCACCGTGCACTGTGATTTTGGCCTTTAAAGATTTCTCACATAGGACAAAAGAAAAAAAAAAAAAAAAAAAATCACACTAAAAGGAAATGACTGAAGTTTCTTTCGAGACCTGCTGAAGGCCAGCTTTGACTTTCATGTCATGTATCATTCACGGGATGTTTGGTGAGTTGTTTTAAGGGTGGGCTCGTGTGAATTCAAGGACAACATGTGCCTTAAATAACATAAGGGGTATAAAGTGAGTTAATTAAGTGATCTCAGATGAATCTAAATTTATACTTTTAAGCATTTTCACTATGAAATAGATGAACAAATATTATTCCTATTGCCAGGGAAGTGTTTTTTTTCTTCTACTTTTCACTTTTTATCTCACTGAGGGTCTCACTGGACTTACAGTTACCAAAGCCAGAGAAATCCATATTTTTATAGGTTGTTACTGTCAAGGTGGCCGCCATGACGGACTCAGAAATTGTTTTTATTGTTGCCGTGGAGACACAGAATATTACGTCAAAGACCCGCTGCATAAGGAAGCGTGGACTGCGACCACAAGTTGCCATCCTGTGACCGTATGTGCTGCTGTGGTCAAGGTCACAGTGAAGGTCAAGGTCGTGGGAGGGTAATTTGTTTTTGCAGCCAGCATATAAAATAAGAAGGACACTTAGAAGTAAAAAAGTGGATGTAAAATAAATACAATAGTGATCATCTGTTGTATCTCCATGTGGTCACCAGGCAAACCTGAACACATCAGTCACGTCGTAAGTTAAAGTCTCCAGCTTTTGGCGAGGCGCTGTAGAGGAGATTTAAGGCCGGGGGAAGGAACAGAGGGTGAGTCTTTTGTTCCAATGACAGACACTGCTGCCCCCCACCATCCCCTCCTCCTCCCCCTTCCCTCCTCCTCCTCCTCCTCCTCCTCCTCTTGTTTTAATTCTTTGGGATGTAAGCGTGACTCATGTCTGTGAATGCCAATGGAAGGCAGCTCTATGGCTTTTCTATGAATTACATTATTGATTTCCAATACTGCTCAGAACAAAAATGTAATTATGCACAGACCCCGCCCTAACCTTCTTCATCCTCACCACACACGTCTTCTCCTTCTTTCCTTCTTCCTCGTTCTTGTCTTTCACTCAGTGGCTTTTGCTATTATCAATTTGTCTTTCACTGGAGCCTTCAGTAAACTACCCCTCCCCTTCCTCCATCACCTGACCTCTCTAAAACCTCTTAGTGCTTTGTCCTTCAATCATGTCCTGACGGCCACGGCTCTCCCAGATCACCCTGCATCAGCATCAGCAGTTTAGAACATCATACCGTCCTAAACATTGTATTTAATCTTGCATTGTCTTATAACAGCAGTCACAGTCAGTCACTTTAAGTCTGGATAACACCCAGTGAAAATCAATATCTACCTCCTCCTGAACTAAACCAATTGGACATTTTAATGCCAACTGATTTCCTGCCTCTCCTAAAATTCCTGAACCTGATTTCTCACAATGAAAACCCAGCATAAAAGAAATTGGAGTAGAGTACATCTTTTAAAGTGCTCGGATCGTTTCTGATCTCAGATTTACACATCGACTTTGTTAATATGTTTGGATGTATTTGATTAGTATGTTTCTCTAGATAAAAACCATAGGGGGGAAAAAGAAAACCAACATCCCAGGTTTTGTGCTTGAGTTGCAGTGACATTTTGGCATCTGTTTTTGGATATAGTCTTATCGTTTTGAAGAAATACTTGTCAGTTTAAAGGCTTTATATGCCATGATTTTTTGATCCAGCAGATGTCGCCCTTGAGCACCAGCATGAAACCAAAACAACTCGCGCTGCATTGTTGTGTTAGCATGCTAATGCTAGCGATCTTTATTATGCTGGTATCTTCACACTGCATGTAAATTTACCTGAAATGAGCGTGATCTAGAAACACAGTTAAGCAGTGAGTACAGTATGTTATTCTTCTTTTCTCTAGTCCCTCAATTAAACAACTTTTATACATGAGGGGAGGAGTCAGCCGGCCGTCCCGGCAATGTAAACAAACTGAAGATAGGACTCTGAAAACTCTGAAAACATCACAGACAGTGGGACTCGGGTGTTACACCCATTGTAGACAGTCATGACTCTCAGAGTTATTTTCAGAGGAGATACTTGATTTATATTATATTTAAGTGTGAAAAATCACATATAAAGCCTTTAAGTCGTTCAGGTTCAGCGTCTTGCTCAAGGACACTTTGACATGTGACTTCAGGACTGTGCGATGGAAACCCTGACCTCATGGTTGAAGGACAGCCGACTCTACCACTGAGCCACGACCGCCCATTTTCAAAACACTCTCTCTCTTTGAACTAATTAAATTAGCCAAATAATGTGGAAAAAAAATGTCGCTGTAAAAACCCTCAGGGGAAAATATTGCTGCAATGTTAATTTTATAAATAATTTTAAGTGATACAGACTTTGAATGCTGGCTTTCCATGGCTGTGATGACTAATACGATGATACCGTTCAGACCTTCAGTCACTCACTGCTTGGATAAGCTATCCTTAGCCCATTGAAGCTCTGTCGGTCACTCTGCTTCACACACACACACGCACACACACACACACACACACACATGCACACACACACACACACGCGCACGCTCCTCCTGCTAGCATAGCACACACTCATCTCTTCTACTTGTATATTATGATTACAGCGACAGTGGGGTTAAACATCATGGATTTTGAATGTCTCATCACTCATCATCTTGGAGACTAAACAAACATGTTGAGAGTTTTTATTATGAAAGATATATTTTTAGCTTGATGTCGT